AGCACAGCCGACCAAACACTGAAACTCCAGAAAAACTATAACAATGAAACAGCACCAGTCTCCCAGGCACAGTTTACACAGTTACTGCATTTCATGCCAAGCATCTGGATAAGCCACAGCTGTTCTGGAAAAAAAAATAGGTGTGGACAAATTTATGTAAGCATTAAGGCATATTTAGGAAAAAGGTAATAAAATCGTTTTCTTTTCTTTTTTTAAAGAAGTGCGTTGAAAAGATGTTTGCATGTGGTGTTGTGTTACTGCCAGTGGTACAGGAACATCTACGGGGATAGAGAGTAGACCGGATTCCACTAAATCTGGATGCAAATGTCATGCAGTCAGTTAATGTGGAGCTAAAAAGAGCATCTCTGCAACCTCAAAATCCACAATGAACTTTTAAATGGCACTTACAGCCCTCAGATTTGCGTAGGCAAGACTTGTCTGCTTTCTTATGAAATATGTAGCCTAACATGCTTTTTACTCTTGCTGTAATGGTTTTGCAGACTGTGTAAATGATAAAATCTTTCGAAAGGCAAGCCATTTCATTTAGGCTGAAGGATCAAAAACACAAAATCCAAAACAAAGTCAAAACGCTAAGCACAAAATCCACAGGGCTACACAAAGGAAGTGTACCAGAGAGGATAAGAGATGCTGCAATAAACAAGAGGAGAAGACAGGTTTCAGGAATGGCAATCACAATCACATAAACTCACAATACACTGGAATTTAAAAAAAAACAGAGATTCAAAGGCTCCACAAAGAAAAACATCTAAAGTGTAAAACACCAGTGAAACAGAAACCCAAAGTTAAATATTAAATAAGACTACAAAATTACACTGAATTCATCTATTTGTTTGGTTGTTGTTTTTTAACCACAATACAATACCCTCTTCTTTTCCATTGATTTGTTTCCTCCTGTTCCTGTTTTTCTGCCACTTATCCAGATCCAGGTTGCAGGGGCAACAGTCTAATCCAGAGGTAGGCAACTCCAGGCCTCGAGGGCCAGTGTCCTGCAGGTTTTAGATGTGTCCTTGA